CAACCCCCATTCCCTGTCCTCCTGAGCGATGAATGGCAAGAATGTAGAGAAATTGGGAACAAAGCTGAGCTGAGGAAGAAAGGAGGGGTGAGGGGGAAGGGTTTTAAGATGTTTTGGTTTGTCTCTCATTATCCTACTCTGACTTGATTGGTAACTAATCAAATTGATTTTTCTTCCCCAAGGCAAGTCTGTTTTGCCCATGACCATAACAAGTGAGTGATCCCTCCCTGTCCTTGTCGTAACCCATGAGCCTTTCCTCATATTTTCTCCTCCCCACCCCACAAGCGAAAAGAGTGAGTGAGTGGCCTCCTTGTCTTCTGTTGCTAACTGGAATCAAATACAGACTGGACGTAAGAAAGAATTGTTTTATGATAAGGGTGGGAGGAGACACTTGGGTGTGGGAGGAGACAGAGTGACTGGGGATCAGCAGAAAAGCTAGCAAAATACCTCTTGGCGATATGCATTACAGCTGGTGCCTTCTGTGGGACCTCGCTGCCCATGTGGATGCTCTGAGCAAAGGACCTGCCACAGGTCAGGGACTGCAGAGGGACAGGAAAGTCCCACAGGTGATCCAGAGTCCCACCCAGAGGTGGTTGGGTAAATTGCTGAATCCTCCAGTTTGAGGCAGTGACCCCAAGAAGCACCAGCGTGTTTCTGCAGGTATTGGGCAAGCGATCTTGTCAGGGAGCTGTCTATCCCCTCCTCGAGCCTCCCAGCTCGTAGGTGGGTAGAGGCACAGGAGCTTGAACCCCCTTTTCTTCCCCTGCATTGTTAGTGCTTCTTTTCAACTCCAGGTTTCACAAAGGTGAAGAGGGTGAAAGGCACAAGCCCTGAGCACTATGCAAATGACTGCAAGTAGCATGAGGCTGGCTGCTGCTACCCCACCAAATATGCTGCAGGTCAGGTGAGGCTTTTACTGCAGGGCCTCTTAAGTCTGCCCCAGCAGCATCTGAGAGGCAAGTGTTCTCTTTCTGAGTCCCAGAGCTGCCGGGGCTTTCCAGAGCCAGTGGCTCTAGGAAGACATGGCAGCAACTGATGCCTCTTTGACCTGCTCCCCAGCACTTTATCTCCAAGGAGATACTATTAAAGGTAAATAGCTTTGAATTTATCTGTACTTTACAGTGCACAGCAAGAATATATCACAAAGCTGTTCCCCCCTTCTGCATCACCTTAGGACCAATGATAAGGAAAGGCAGCAAAGCGGAAAGGAAATTCCGCATGTGTGTGTGAACTACAGGAGTGCTAAGAGTTTAAAAATAATAACATAATAATTACATAGCATCCTAGAAATTCCAAGCTTAAGTCTAAGACAACCTACTGGTGCTTTACAGAAAATTAAGATCAAGTTCATGTCTACAGAGCGCACTTGGTTTTATACAGTGTTCCCTGGAACGTGCCCTACACCATTCCTTCATTTGTCTCTCTCAGACTCTGCGCACTCCTATGCTGGGAAGAAAGCCCAGCTGCACGCTGACCTACCCACACCCTGCTCCCTGCTTTCATGACTCTAGCCAGCTTCCTCAGCCTGAAGGTACGGCAAGCCTAGGATGCATCCTGAAGCAGGACTGCTCAGCGTAGTGGTAGCCATAATGATTTAAAAGGCCTGAAAAGTGTGAAAACGGGAAATAAGTCCTCCTAGCAGTTTTCAAGTCTCGTCCATGTAGTTCATGTGGGAAAAGCAGTATGTTTAGCTGTGAAGGGAGGGTTGTCTGTGTAATCACTCAGCCAAGATTCAAATACCGAATTCTCTGTGTGGCTACCATCTTCTTTCTTTCTGGAGGGAATTTTAAAAGAGGAAAATAACCCACCCTCATTTGGTTAAATCACTTCTAAATGGAGAACTGTTCAGGGAACTGTTGGGGTTTTTTGCCGTATTTTTCACGAAGTTTCACTTTGAAATAAATGAGAAAGTCTACGAAAGTAAATTCCTCATGAAACCTTAGGTTTCAACAGAAGAAAAGCCCAATATCAGACCCAAAACATTTAGCTCTATTCAGCAGCTGATAGCTCAGCGTTGGAACACTTCCTAATTTCGTCTGTGAGGAGCAGCATTTCTACAGCCAAGTTTGGCAATTCGGAACCCATGTCTCATTTTTTAGATGTTTCTAAAAACAAACTCCTTAGGAAGCAGGATGACAGAAGTTGTAAATCTGGCAATGAAAAAGGGATGTTGCTTCCATCAACAACATCTTCTAGAAGGGAAGAGTCACAGGGCTCCATAGGCAAAGCTTTCAGCTACATGTGACATAAAAGGAAAGAGCCTCCTGCTTTCTTCCAATCCCTGGATCACACCATTCATCCTAGCACTGAAGTTTTAGATCTAGACACAGCCCTGGTAATCTATGTCTTGGCCAAATGAGATTTTACCACCTGGGGAGTAGTGTTCTTCAGGGGTTACCTGTACGAGGGAGAACTCAGCAAGACAAAACTGCCAAGAATCCTGTAACACATCAGGACTGGGCCCATGTCATCAAGTGATGGTGTGTAACAGATGTCTTGCCTATTCTGTGCATTCCTTTTGGCCCCATTTGTTGAAAGACACAACATTTCCCTAC